TCCCTACTATAATACGACACCTAATATTTAGGGTACCCAAAAAGGGACCATAATTTTGACAACCACCCATATATATATATATATATACCCAGGCCAAAGTCTGAGGATCCTGGCACACTGGTGAAGGGGATACCGTGTCCAACTCTTTGGCCTCTTTGCCTAGGTTTCAGCTGGGGGCTTCCTAAAATTAAGGGTACCTTTTTGGGGGGTCCCCATAATAAGGATTATAGTATATTGGAGTCTATATTGGGGCCCCATAATAAGGATTATAGTATATTGGGGTCTATATTGGGGTCCCCTAGTTTACGGAAACTACCAGCACTTTCTCTTCCAAACATGTGATTTTGCCAGAGGCGGTGCCTGAAGCGATCATCACTGCAAGAGCAGAGCGCGGGATATAGCCCCGATAAATACCCTATTGTATTTTAGCCGTTTCCATGTTCTTTTCCATTATCCCTATATAACCCTAATATAACCCCAATATTATCATAGTTTCCAATTTATCTTCCATCTCTCCCAACATAACCATAATGTAACTTCGATATAGCAAACATGCGAAAAAGGAAAGCAGGCCCCGGCACAGGCGCTCGACTGTGGGCTTGTCCAAGCCAGCCACTGAACACATGGCTTGCCTCAGCAGAGCCACCCTAAGAAAAGGAATATTGATCACCACATCAAGATGCCAAGGTTCCACGATTACCTTGACCACGATCCCTCCTTTATCTCTACGCAAAGCTCCCGAAACCCTACCCTCAAGTCAAGACCTTAGCCCTAAAGCCCCAAACCGGAACAACCCTTCACCATGCTTTCTTATTCCATGTTCTTGTCCACTCTATTCTCCAGTATTGGGGGTAATAATCCCTATATTATATGAATCCCTGTACACCCATAAGTTCTGCAGCGCAACCCATCTTCCTTTCCATTCCCCTACACTCTGAACCCTTAACCCAAAGACCCTAAACCCTAAGCCCTAAACCCAAACACCCTAAACCCAAAACCGAACCACCCTAAACCCAAAGCCCTAAACCCTTTAGAAGCTCAGGTCATTGCGGCACCGCCTCGGTTGCCTTCTGCATGGCCTCTGCCCGCAGCTTCACCAGCTCAAGGCCTCAGAAGCAAATGGGTTTCATGGAGATATCTAGGGGTTTGGGTTTTTGTTTTTTTTGTTTGACGCGCCTTTTCTCCGCTGCACGGTTGCTGGGAGACAGTCCGATGGTTTAGAGTTTAGGGTATAAGGTTTAGGGTTTAGCGTTTACGTCTGTAACATGAGGATCTAGAGGGATTATGTAGGGTTTCGGGATAGGACCTGTAGGAAAGAAAATATGAAATCACATGGAGACTGCGACTGAGAGTTCGGGGGTTAGGGACTAAAACCCCAATAGGGATTATATAGGACAATGGTAAAAATGAAAACTACTATATTACTTCGGGTTTCGGGTTCAGGGTTATTGGGATATGCCTGGATTTTAATAGTGGAACATTAAATGGAAAAGAATATGGAAAATGAAGCGAGAACTGCAGGGGTTTCTGGGGATATGCAGGATTCAGGGGCCATTTCTCTAATGGGGATTATACAGAGGAATGGGAAAGAAACTTGAAACTACATTTCTAAACATTTCTAGTGGCCTACGGCTTCTGGTGGTTATTACCCAGAAAGTGGCAACTTCCAGATTATTTCGGGTTTAAGACTCAGGAGAATGGAGAATCAAATGGAAAACAGAGGAGAATGACATGAACACTTGGGTTCTCCAGGGGCTATCGGGATTGCAAGAGTGGTGCTTTCGGTAATTGAACTTAGTTGAGAATTTCAACCTGGCGCCAATGATGCTCGAATTGAATGAGAGAAGATAAATATTTTAACCATTCTCTCTGGAATGGAGCTGTCTGGAACTGAGCTGAATCCAATTTGCCATCCAGCCCAGTTGACTTAGCTTGCAGATTCAGCATAACGGGCAAAATCAACTTAGCCGTAGGCCGTCCTCGAACTCCAGCACTCCAGCAGCACCTGAACTGAAACCCTTTTGGGGCTGCACTTGCGGTGTAGAACTGCAATAATGCAGCATGCGTAAGGCTCATATTGGTAATCTTAGGAATGTCAAGAAAACGTCTAGGTGGCAAGATAGAGAGCGTTAAAGGAAGATACCCACGGGGACTGGGACATGGTAACTACCCACCCAGGGCTATCCTTGAGAGGGTTTGGGGTTGAATGTATACACCCTAAAGTCGTCCCCCATACCGAGGACTCCAGAAATGGGACCATACCTGGATTGCATATGCGGTAGTTTGCCTAATTCAGGGACTTCAGTATGGCCCCCCCGAATACTATCATCCTTATTATAGGGACCCCCAAAAAAGTACACCGAATTTTGGGAAACCCTAGACCCTTATTTCGCCTATCTGAGCCATACATATCCCCTGTAATCCCCTTTGAGGGGTCCCTTTTTTGGGTACGCTATATCCCCCTAAGCAACCCCCTACATATCCCCTATAACTCCCTTTGTATGAACCCCTACTCTGGGAAACCCTAAACCCTAAACCCAGGTTTCGGGTTTGAGGGCTTAGGGTTTAGGGTCAAGGCTAAACACCTTCGTCAAAAAAGGAAGCTTTTGGGCCGAGCCAGGCGCAAAGTGCGGTGTACTCACCGAGACTCAAGCCAGCCACGGCCTGCTGAATTGAGGGGGTTGCGATTTGGGGCTTTAAGGGATTTAGGATTTTAGGGTTTCGGGATTTAGGGATTTAGGGTTCAGGGTTCAGGATTTAGGGATTTAGGGTTCAGGGTTTAGGCATCTTCCTGCCAGTTCTGAAGAATCAAACGGAAGGAAAAAATGAAATAGAGACTGGGATTCTAGAGATGTTTGTAGGACTCAGGGTTTCCCAAAATCAGATGTACATTTTCGGGAGCCCACGCAGTAAGGACTATAATGCATTGGGGTCTAGACTGGGGTCTCCCTATTTAAAGAAACTACTAACAAATTGGACTGACAGGCTATTTCAATTCTGCCTGGGCGGAGGGTTTTGAGCATTGGGCGTAGACTTTTGGCCTGAAGATTTTCCAGCTAAAATCCCTAAACCCTAAGCACCTAAACGGGTCTGAGACACACACACACCTACCAAACGCTGTGCTTTCCAAAGCTAAGGCCGCAAACCTGCACACGGTCCACCATCTCGCGCTTCCTGAGCCAGGGCTCGCAAACATGTATTTAAGGTTTAGGGGTTTAGGGTTTAGGGGTTTAGGGTTTAGGGTCCAGGGTTTAGGGGTTTAGGGTCTAGGGTCTAGGGTTTAGGGGTTTTGGGTTTAGGGTTTAGGGGTTTAGGGTTTAGGGTGTAGGGTCTAGGGTCTAGGGTTTAGGGTACACACTACTCACTGGTTCTTAGTCGGGAAATGGGAAGATACTCTGGATAATGGAAAATGGAGACTACTATAGTATATCAGGGTATATAATGAGATCTTATATTACTGGTGGTGAGTAGGGAGTATGGGAATGTAATCCCTATGTACATCGTATATAACCTATTCCAAGAACCAGTGAGCTAAAGTTCATGAGCATGATCATGCTAGACCTCAGCCGAAAGCTGTACGATAATCACTGAATAGTCATGGAAGCTAGAGAAGTGCTGAAGCAGGTTTGATGCCCCTACAGCTTAAACTCTATAGCCCTAAACCCCCTAAACCCTCAATCGCTAAACCCTAGTTCTCGGACCGGACCATGCAAGGGCAACCAGCTCAAGTTAGCTCTGCGGGAGGACATTCATGATGGTTTCACACCGACATCGTGTGTGTGTGTGTAGCGCGCTACAGAGAGAGGCTACCAGATTTGACGAACCATTTCACACCGACATCGCGTGTGGGTGTGTAGCGAGCGCTACAGAGAGAGGCTACCAGATTTGACGAACCACTGAGCATCATGTCATTCAAACCATGGCCATACAAATATGTTGGGCGGAGTAATCCGAGCAGTTGTTTTATCAAAGGGTCCACATTTAAAGAAATTGTTTGGCAAAATTAAACTCCAAAGACTAGCTGCAATTAGGTGGCTTTTCGTATGGGGATAAGGGACTACATTTGGGGAACCAATACTGAAAATAGAGATATTCAATATATTCTTTTTTTGATGTTTAATTCATAGAGGTCCAAGAGCCCCGATGACGCGGGAATGCACTTGTTCAATTGAGTTCCAAGAGCCCCAATCATTCTTTTAACCTGGCGCCCTCAATTTCTTGTTCTAGCGGGGGGGCGTCCCCCCAAATTCAACAAGTGCTAGGATTAGGCATAAGTCAGTGGACTTGTCGATGAACAAATCTATGATCAAATCCCTTCCCAAAGCGTGCGCTGGCATACCAATTTCGCTTCACGCCCCCGACGCCCCAAGGCAAGGTTTCCTGTGAACTGGAGAGAAAAATCATTCAAAACCAATTTCCCCCCTCCCACCACCAAAAAGCTTGATGTGAGTATCGACCGCACCCCCACAACACCTCGCTGCTTCCCAGACCTGGTTTGTCATACCAATGCCAAAAACAGGAGGGGGTTCACCGAAATTCGTGGTCCTTCTTGGCAGTCCCCAGAACAACGCTTACAGTAGTTTGGGGTCTATACTGGGGTCCCCCTATTTTGGGAAACTACAAACTATCCCCATGCAATACCTACATGGCACAAGCTCCCGTGTCTTTTCCATGTGATTTTTCATTTGATTCTCCATTATTGGGGTTATGATCCCAATATATCCCTGTATAACCCTAAACCCTAAACCCTGTATAACCCTAAAGAATATGGTAGTTTCCATGTTCCCTTCCATTTCGCCCAGGACACCGGAAGCCTAGCTCGGCATGTTCACTCGTGACGAGAAAAGCGTTTGGGCTTACATTTCATGTACATGGAGTTATATAAGGAGGGTATATAGGGATAATGGAAAAGGAAATGGAAACTACTATTTAGGGTTTAGGGGTTTAGGGTCCACTTGGAGCGTCAGGGGGACTTAGGAAGTAGGTTAATAATGGGGTCACTGTATGGGGGATAGGGGTTATTAACCTACTTACTACGTCCCCTTGACCCTCCAAGTAGGATATGTCTCATCTTGCTGGTTCTTAGTAGGAGATATTTAGAAATATGTTTATATAGGGAGTTATATAGGGAGAATGGAAAATAAAATGGAAACTACTGTATCATAAAAAATGTGGGGGTTACATAGGGGCTTTATCAGCTATAGTCTAAACTCCTAGAATCCCCCTTGACAACCCCTACAATACTCCCATAAATAATTCTCTATATGACCCACTTTAATCGCTCATATAGGGATGCAAAGGGATGATAAGCAGTAAGTCATGGTAGGTCACTAATGGTCCGATCACCACCCCATAGTAGTAGCATCCTGATTGTGAGGCAAACCCAAAGATCTGCTCACTGTCTGCTAAGGCTTTTGTCTGTGCTTCATGGTAGCAGGAATCTACGTCTCCAGCTTCTGGGTAGCGCACGTCTGCTTCATCAGCTCGATGCCTGCAACGCCAGCCACGTACCTTAGCCGGGATCTCTGTTAGAATCTGGTGACCTTAGACAGCAAATTTCCCGGAAGAAGCGGCATGACGGGCTGGCAATACTTGGTCTCCTCAAGCTTCGCCTGCACACCACGTGCTGCAACAGTCAGGCCATGTTGAGTCTCATGCATGATGGCACCTCGGGCCCCTCCAAGCACAGCTGCTTCACACTCCAGCCCAAAATGCTCTCCGCTTTCTCGAGCCTGAAGTGTCAGTGGTTCGAGAATGCTCCCTTCCTCGCGCTTAGCTACTTTGCAATGTACCGCGTCTCGGACATGCTGTACACATCTCCGTCTCAGAATGAGCTCTGGCGCTGAGCTTCAAGTTGACAGCTCACACTGCAACGAATGCAAGTCTGAAGCTCTGCTGGGGTAATGACATCTTCTCAACGGCCGGGATGTCCAGACATGACTTGAGCATGCCGGGGTACTGCGAGCCCTGCATGTGGTTTTCTGCGACGCCACAAAGATACTGCAAGTCCGTTATAGTAATAATAACATAAATGCTACTAATAGTAATAATATACATAATGAGAATATAGCAAGAGTCATAACAATTACATGCCTGTCCAGGGAAGAGCATTGCCACTGGAAGTGGAGGCTTGCTCTTGGCTGGTGGGCGTGGGATTGTTGATCGAGGCCTTTGCAATACACCAGGAGATGTGGCAATCAATAGTGCCAATGATCTCAACTGAATCTAGGCAACTGGCAGGTCCATTTTGGCCCAGAGTTCCTTCGTCCACATAACTGTAGCATGTCAACGTGCAATGAACCACTGCAGCATGACAGAGTATTGCTGGTCGCCTCTGCTGTGGGCAGGGGATATGGATCAGGAAAATCACCTGTCTTGTACCTCAGGAATGGTCTAAGAGCTTTGAGCGCCATACTGCACTTGTGAAGAAGTGCACGGTAATTGCGGGCAAGTAACACATATTTGCGTTGCTTGGCCTTGTTCTTATCAAGCCAGTCCTCCGCATAGGAATCCAAGCCTGGCCGTTTCATGAAGCCAGTCACTGGAACGCCTTCTCTGCAGGAAAAGGTCTGCGCCTTCAAACCGCCACTTCTTCAGTTTGAATTCCTGGGCGTGTCTCCGCGTTCCCGAACACATGTTGAGATTCCCCAATATGTTGCTCCTGCATTCACAGGCCTGCGCTACAACAAGAACACTTGGATGCCCCGTGTCTCTGGGTTCTAATTAACGCATGGTCCGCTGCTCTGATGCTCCAAAGGGACCTGCGCTTGCTGATTCTTCTTATCGGTGAGCTCGCCTTTGATGGCGGCCTCCAAATGCACAGTAGTGACTCTGGTTGTGCAACAGTGACAGAAGCTCAAGAGATAGGGGATGAAAGGGAGTTTTGCAGGCAGCATTTCATGCGTTGAGCGGTGGCCCTGCTCCACAAAGTGAGACTCAGCAACAGCAAGAAACCATCCAAGCAGCCTGGGAAATGCACCTAGAGTCATGCAGGACTCTGCCAACTAGGCAGGCTTCAAATGTTGTGTGCTTAATCTAAGCAACATGGCATCTCTGGCCCAAGCCCACAGGCCGGATCGGCCCGGAGGCCATCACAAGATCAACCATTTCCACCAGCACGGTGCTAAGTGCCTCCAACCACTCCATTTCCTGACCTTCGTTCCGGTTGTTGATGTGGATCAACCTACAGGCCACGCGGAAGGAGGCAAATGCAGGATCATGACATGTGCATTGGCCGAGTGGCTGCTGTGGCGTATAGCCATTGAGATCTGGTGTCGTGGTATCCGCACCATGCTCAACGAGCCACTGCAGGCACCTGCTTCCGGGCCAAATTGCGGCAACCCTTGACATCGTTGCTTTCAGCTGCTTGAGCTCTGTACCATGGTGTTCCGTAGCGGACAGCATACCACGCTGGCCTGGCGCTTTGCAGAAACTGTGATATTACGTGATGAGATGCAGAATTTGAATGCTTCACAACCCGAACATTTCTGCTTGGCAACCAAGACACGTCTCACCGTTGAAGGTTTGCGCGCTGAGCTCCTGTTCGGTGCAGGCCTGCGTTCATCAGGATTAGTGTCACGAACCAGCGAGCACGGCGAGCACGCCAAAACTCTACAAACTCTGTTCAATGCCTTCAGCATGTCCATGTTTCCATACATGCAGGCCTCAGGACAAGGTTTCAGCTGATGTCTTGTTCATCTGTGGGCATCCAATGTCAATTTTGCCCAGCCGCAATGTGGGCCGGGCCCCAGCCCAGGAAATTTGTCAGTCCATCCAGCCTCAGCCACCCAGCAGGTGCGCCGGGGCAGCGGATATACACACGGTATTACTTAGGAGGAATCCCCAGCTGTAATAGTGGTATAGGAGGAATATAAGAGGACTTTAGTATGATCCTTTATGATCCCCTAGAGTCACAATTTCCCTACTTTGTCCACGTATGGTATTACATACTGGCTGCTTGAGTTCCTGGATCATGGCGATAGCAAAATTCTTGTGGGCACCGAGTCAACCCAGGTAAGACACCCCATGCTCCAATGCTCTGATAGGTCAGCTGGACGGGAGCCGTGGTCTAGTAGTGATAATAATAGTAATAACAATAATAATAATAATAATAGTAATGTCAATAGTACTCATAAAAATAACAAGAGTATTCATGGCAATAATGGTAGCAATATATCAGAGATATACCCTATGATCCCCTACATATCCCCTACATAACTCCTACATATCCCCTATATATCCCCTAGTAATAACAAGTGGCACACCTGAGGCCGCGGGCGTGCCGTTGAGGCAGGCATAGGCATATGCATCAGCCTGAGCCAGGGCCGAAAAAAGGTTTAGGGTTTAGGGTTTATGGCCAACCCTTCCAAAGTTGATCAAAGGTGACAACAAGGAAAGACAGAAAAAATCGAGCATGTTCTAGTATAATATGATATGATGTAATATAATGTAATGTAATATGTTATGATATAATATACTATGATATCATATAATGTTACAATAGCCAGCTTCGTTTCGGCAACGAAAATGTCTGAAAATACTTGTCTAAGATCGTTCACGCACAGTTTTCCTTTGATGCAACGAATTTCTGAGTATGCATATCAGACTGGCATTATGTCATGCTTCTTATTCTATCACACCAACAGTCAACCTCTAGAATCCCCACTGCCACATTTCGCAATCGGCGGACGGGTAGATGTTCAAGTGTCCAGAAGAATGGTTTTGCTTCATGGTTACCGCTTGTGCAGCGACCCGGGCGTTGGGTCATGTAAGATAGTTGATGTGGCGCACCAACATGTCTGAGAAAGGCACGCCGATGGTGATGCCGCTGAAGGGATGTGAAAGAGGATGCTTCACCTGGGATTATCCCAAACAGACTTTTGCCTTTGTACCTCGCAACACTCCAACATACTCCAATACTCCAGCAATTACGAGAAATCTCACGGCGTCCTAAAAATGCTCTCATGAAAGCTCAAAACAGTTCGGCTTGGCACCCACTTTGGCAGACGATATGCGTCGAACTTCTTGTGCCCAGGCCTACCATCGTTGCTTTGTCCAGTTGACTCTTCAAACTCAGGCCTCGTGCCTGTTCTCAGCCATTCCCTCCACATGCTGGCTGTAGTTGAGGTCCCAAGACCTGGGTAGCTTTCTTGTCTGAACTACATTTGCCTGCTAATGACGACACTTGCGCTCCAATTGGAAACCAAGATGGGCCAAGAAAACCCAACCACAAGCGTGGCAACTTCAAGCCGTACTTTGCAGCAGTATTCCCTCCCTGTAGCTGCTCTCAGTTATGCCAAGCGCGCGGCTCGCCATCTTCTTCATAAGGCATACTTGAGACGCCTACACCTGCAGGCGCGTTCAGTCTGCAGTGTAGGATCTCTCACATATTTGAACTCCTGAATATGCTCAGCACAGTACATCACAGGGCAGGTCACATCTTCTAATTGAGGTGAATATACACAAGCTCAGGGCAGCGCCCAAGCGGCTGCTGCAGGCCGCTGCTAAGCTTCCGAGCCAACACGTGGCTTTCGGTCGAAGACCACAGCTCTCCATTTGTGAAGGTTCAGCAGAAGGCAAACAAGAAACACACCCAACTCATGTCATCAACAACACGTCGCAGTGCATCCTTGCAGTTTATCCCCGCAGTCCTCAGACAGGCTGACGCTTTCTCACTCTTGGAGATAGTCTCCGCTTTGGAGCCTTCGAAGTCTCCAAACGCCAAGCGCGAGCAGCCTTGCCTGCGCCGCGAGCAGAAGCTCAGCTCAGGCAGCTAATGCTCCGGGTCGTCCGCCTGACACAAGAAACCCTGGGCTTAAAACACACCACTATGAATGCTGCCGACGGCCTCAACAACTTCCTCCTCCCAGCTTGACGTGGCCTGACTTGCGCTGCGCTGCTGCCTTGCGCCATACATGTATCACATAAGGGCCACTTCCATACCGACAGCACATCCGGGGTGCAAGCCTACTCATCGTCTCAGAGGCGGTCGCGAGGAAGGCTTTGGAATCGGCTTGGCAGGGGCAGCCTGAACGAAAAAAGCTGATCCTTCCACTCACCTCGTCGCAAGCAGTCATTGCCTGTTCGTTCATCCTTTCGGCTTCAGACGCTGCGGCACTTGCTGCTGGAGGATCCTGCGACATCAGCTAAATGGCTGGCATCTGCTTGGATGCAATACGCTGTGCCAGAAGGCGCACGTCCTTCCAGATCCCCCCTGCTGGTTCACCTCCAGAGCATCTCTCAGCAAGTGGTCTGAGACATTCTAAGAGTCTGTGCAGGCCTGCATCCTGCTTGACACCCTTGGTGCCCCAGACAGAGAAGGCATCCTAACAGCTGCAAATGGCTGGTGCCATCTGGTTGAATGGCCTGTGAAAACGTTCCGCGCAAGAACAAACCTAAACCCCAGCACATACACCACGCTGACCAGACACACGCAGTCCTTCAAGTCGTCCAACCGCACAGGCTGATCCGGCTTGTGGCCATTCTCTCTTTCTCGACGTCGTGATCTGGGGCACTTCTACTCTGAAGGGTCTCCACAGGAATTGGGCTTTGGTGCACCATGTGACCTCAATTTGTTGCGCAAACCAGTGACATCTATCATCCTGTGTGGTTACGTCAACCTGATCTGCATTGATCGGCAGCCCTGTCATTCTGATACATCTACATCTACATCGGTTTAGGGTTTAGGGTTTCTCATCTGCGTGGTCTACTCCTGCTGCTGCTGCTGGTCTCCTAGACAAAAAAAGACATGCTGTTGCCGTTGCCTGCTCCGGAGTGCCAGCCTGCCATCGATGCTCTAACTGAATAATGTATAGTAACGAAACCCTATTTTTACCATAAACAAATATTGCTATTTTTATAACTCTTATCATTGTTATGGTAACTTGATTTAGGTTCCTGAACAACAACCCGTGAATTTTTGGGTGCTGGCTGTCCGATGAGCCGGGAATGGGTTTCGGCTTTGAGTGCGCTCCCTTTCCCTCACTATCCCTCGTGGCATTATGCGCAAATGATTTACATGGCAAACCAGATTGCTTTCCTTTGCCGTCTATATGCCCCGGACAAGAATTAGCAATCTTTCGGGGTCTTGCAGGGCAAGCACCAACTGTCAGCAACCAGTAAACAAAGCTGCGTCACCTGGTGCCATTCCTGCCATCGTCATGTCTCCTGCCCAAATTGCTTAGAGATGTTGCCTGGCGCATCTTGCATGCTGACACCAAAACCCATAGGAATATATATCCCAAGTCTGGCATCTGCTGTACCAGGGGCAAAGGAAAAACGAACCACGCTGGAAAAAGAGCAGCCAGTGACCAAGAAGAACCAACCTGGAGAGCCCTCAGGGCATGTGCGGAACAGCATGACCTACTTAGTAGCTTCACCAAATGGAAGGACCCCAATCTAGACCCCAATATACTATGATCCATATTAATCTTAATATAGGTAGCCAAAAAAGAAATCCCTTGTTTTGGGACACCCCCTCTTTATGCTGCCTAAAGAATGTTCATAGCAAAATATAGTAATCATAGTAAAAACAGTGCCAGGAATAACAAAAACAAGTGATAAAAACTGATGATGATAATAATGATGATAAATAGTAATGCTAATGAGAATAACCTATACTAATAAATGATGATGAGAATAATAATAACAAGTATGATAATGAATGATACTAGTAATAGCAATAGAAACAATAAGTGATACTAATAACTGGCACTATAAATGATCACAAATAATCATAGAACATAATAATCATAAATAACTGATAAGACTCCAGAGATGGCTGTAGAGCTCCTCTCTGACTCGCGGCGATGGTTTCTGGAGCGGCTTTCACGGCCACCTGCTTTAAAATGCAATGCTGGGCATGGAAGGTGTATAGGGTTTAGAGTTTTTTTTTTCGGTTGCCTTTTCTCCACGGCTTGATTGTCCAAGGAAATGTTGCAAACACGGCCCAATACCCAGGTCGGCCCTTACCACCAGTCACCTGAGCATTGCAGCCTCCTTCAAACCCTCAGCGCAGTTTGCCAGCTCTTACACCTATGTAAGAGGTGCATCCAAAACTCTGCAGGTTTAGGGTTTAGGGTTTAGGGCCGGTGGGTGGGTGGGTGGATGGAGGACTTTCTATAAAGAAGTATGTATGTGTATATGTCGACATACTTGTACTATATGCATGCTACTTGTACATAGTTGAGTGGCATCATTGTTGCATATTGTTGCTATGCTTGGTGCAACAACATGAAAAGCTCTGTACATTGCAACTTGCCTTCTGCCCTTGGCTTTCGTGCCAAAACCTGCGTCGATACTGGCAACAAGTATACCAAACAATATGACGAGTGTAGCAAAGGCGTGGAAGGTAGTAGCGACAGCAGAAGGATGATTGCCAGATGCAAAGGAGTAGTAGGAGGAGGAAAAGTCATGACATGTATGGAGAGCGGCACAAGAGTTGACACATTTTTGTATGTGCTTGCCAGGTTTCCGCCTCCCTTCCACTTCTCTGGATGGACCGCCTCCCATGCACAAGAAAACTTGCATCCACTTGCCCATAATCAGCTTTTCCTTCATGCAACGGGGTAGAGTGTTGTGCTCCAACTGCCACTTGATGCTTCCGCTGACATCAAGACGCCGCTGCCTCTCGCGAGATCTGCCAGAATGCCCCTAGCATCGTCCATCAAGTTTAGCAGATTCGGATGGATGAAATTCACGCTACGCGCCTGATGTCGAGCCTCCCGATGACTGCGGGGAAGCGGCTCATCTCGCCTTCTGCCGTTCTCCACCCTACGCCCTTCCAGTTCTGAGGTTCGCCGACGATCAAGGTGCCTGCAAGCAGACCAATAGTATAAGGCTCCCAACACCTTGGTCTGGCCTGGAGGACTCTTTTCTTGCATCGTCTCTCCTTGCAAGACAGGCTTGGCAAGGTGTCGCAAACGAAGGATGACACTGTCTGCCAGCAGCGTCATCAATAAAAGTTTGCCCAATGAACTTAATGCACAAAGCACTTGCCTGGATCGGTCACGACTTCTGTTGCCGGCACCTCTTTGCTGCCTGTCACATCACGCACTGCAAAGTGTAACACCCCACAGCCTTAAATGCTCAACCTGGAAACGAAGAAAATCGGTGGCCCAATAAATTCCTCTCCTCTCCCTGGTCATCTGAACCATCGTCTCAAGTTCTAGTATCCCCCGCAGTATAAACCCAATAAAAGTCCCCTATATAATCCTCGCCTATTTAAGCCCCTTTAAGAAGTTTAGACTATAGCTACCCTCAACCCTAAACCTTAAACCCTAAACCTTAAACCTTGAACCCTAAATCCAAAACCTTAAGACCTAAACCCTAAACCTTAAACCCTAAACCTTTAACCTTAAACCCTAAACCCTAAACCTTAATCCCTAAACCCTAAACCTTAAACCTAAACGCTAGAACTTAAACCTTAAATTAAACCCTAAGCCCTAAACCGTAAACCCTAAACCCTAAACCTTGAACCGTAAACCCCAGAAATACGGAACATTAAATTCCAAGTCAAGAAAACTCGATTAAAGGAGAACCCCACATGTGTAGTTTAACCCAAATTTAAGTGATACATTATGAGGATACCGTCGACCGGCGATATATGAAGACGTGTATACAAGAATGCAAACTCTTGAGACCGCATTCCGCGGTGAAACGACGAGCACATTGCGCGATGGCGAAGTCTGGGCATCAGCTGCAGCTGATGTATGATCCCTCGTGTGCAGCACCTTGGATGTTCTCGGTCTGTCGCTCGTCGTGGAGGCGAAGCTGCGCTCCTCAGGACAAGACAATTCAGCGCAAGCCATGTTTCTACTGGTGCTGAAGAGGGAGTGGGGGAGTGAATACAGGTACCAGTATAATGGTACATATCGGGATTATATAAGGATCATTATCACGATTCAATCGCGCGCTCTCCCTCAAGCACGAGGAGTCTTTCCTTTACGGAGAGGTCGCCATAGTTCAAGAAAAAAGTCAAGAGGACAAGAATGCCTCAAACGTGAAAGAATGCGAAAGAAAAAACACAAAAACAGGTGGCAAGTGATGAGCAGAAAGTGACGATGGATTGCATGATCTTGATTGTTCCCGCATACCAGGTGTCGACCTCTTTGGTGTACTTCTCTTGTCCCAAAGTGCACCACACCCGATCCAAATTCTGGTGTTTTCAAAATGCCTGGAAATATTATCTAGTAGTATCCTCGATATGCTTACAAAGGACTGCTTCTAAATCAAAACTTCCTCATGGACCGTCCCAACCCTGCAAAACCTTGTCTGATCCTTATTATGTCATCAATCGAATTCATTAGGATTCTTTCAAGGCTCACTAAATAG